CAACGGAAGGAAGCGTGGATTGTGTACAGGACAATGCTTGTACAAAGGCTGAGTGATTCGAGGCATTTGCGAAAGGTGTTATATGCAAAAACGACCACTCATGAATTGAGTCAAAATTTCACTTTCTAAATAACAACCGCAGGCCTAAAGTACAGTCCCAAACTTATAAGGAATTCCTGCCTGTATATATTACGCGTTTGGCTCAGTTGGAAAAACCTGATAGGTGTTGTGGTTCACAAATGGTCGTTGCTAAAAGCAATTGAACCGCGAAGGAATTCACCTGTTTTGTCAGGCGAAACAGAGAGCAAAACAACTTGTTGCAAATTAAAGAACAAATTCAGTTTTCGGCCTTTACGTTTTGAAAAATAGGAGATGGTGTCTGGCATTGCGTTTGAACAGCATTGTATCGCTAACTTTTGCTTGCAATGTTGCAATCTTGCTCAAGTTGGTAAAGATGGAGAATTCATGTTTAAATTATTAACTGTTTAATGAGCCTTTTTAGCGGCGAATTTTACGCCCTTTGTTATCCATCTGTTCATGAGAAGCTCAGCTGAACCTAACCCACGCAGGACTAAAGTTCAAGCTTCCAGCTAAATAAAGTAGCGCTTGTTCGGTGATCTTTCATGATATTTGATAATATAACATTTCGAGGCTCAAATTATTCGATTCGCGAATAGGTTTTTTTCGAACAATTCTAATGGCTTGGGCGTTATATAAGAGGACATCTCGAGAATTTTGATTGCCCCTAGTCGTTCGCGCCAGAAAATAAGGAAATTTTTCGTGGTTTTCTTTTAAAATTATTACATTTTTATTCGCTGTTAACTCAGTTGAATGTAGAGAAATTTTGAGTCTGTCTACTGATAACACTCTGTTAAAAAAAAAAAAAAACCNAAAAAAAAAAAAAAAAAAAAACCGCGGCTGCTTCGCTTTCCAATGAAATTCATTTCTGTCTTATTATGCAAGTTCTTGTTGACGCGAGCTAATGGCACTGGTCTCGCCATCTTTGCTTGTGTGTATCTTCACCCTCTAAATTGATTGTAAATGTCTTTTTCCTCTCACGGAAGTTCCTAAATTTACTTTTCTTCAAGCCTAAGAAATTCTTCTTAAATGTCCACTACTAGTTAAAGCACGATCACATTAATATTTTGATCGCAAATTATCTGGAACAAGATATTAGAAAAAGCAGGAGGACCGGTACCCAGGAGGCAATTTTTCTTCTAAACAACTCCTTTGAAAGACTTTAACCGTTTCTAACCGAAGGTGCATACATCGATAGTAAATAACAACACACAATTAATTCGTCGGTGAGCGGGTATTTGGCGTTAATGTGGTCAAAATTTTAGCGCAGAAAATTATTAAACAAATAGCTTTTCGCAACAGATGAAAAAGGGAAAAATAGCTTTTTATCTTTTTGTCTTTCTACATGTATGTATACTTTTCATTAATAAACAGTACTTTTAAAGAGCCACAAAATACCGAGTGATTTAAAAATTGTTTCTTTCTTCGGTTGCAGTCGCGTTAAATAGATAAACTCTTTCCTAATACAAAGTTCGTATTTCGTTTTTATAATTTAAGTCTTCGTGTGCAGATGTTATAGCAATTTTGCAGAATAAAATTGTTATTCAAATTTAACTTCCTACAGGGATAAAACCTCTCTTAGGTCAATACTTCGGCTCTAAAGCTGACCGCAAAGTGTTTTTGGTTTGAAATGTTTCGATGTACGTTTGGACTAAGAAAAACTTCCCCGACGAATTACATTCATCATTCTGAAATCGTGCCAGAAACAAATGAAAACTTGATAGAAAATTTAAATTCCCCGCAGCGGTAGTTTCTGCGTGTAGTTTTGAACTGTATTTAGTGTTCTCATTTGTTTCGAAATACAGCCTGGTGCTCTACGTTTCGCTTTCTGTCGCTTTTATATTTTTCTGCAGGAAACTTTCATGCGCTAACTACCTGATATCTAAGTGTAGACCGCTTTTAGAGATCGACAGAAAAAATGATTTTGAAGTACCTTTTTCGGTATGATCAACTCTACAAAACAACTCTCTTTCTCCATGTGGTCTCGCAAAACTAAAAATTATATCTGAACTCAATCGAACGCTGTCCGCACAACGATTTAAAAGTACTTGCGAGCGAGGAAAAAAATTGTAACTACATGTTGAACATACCCGGCTCGTCTCTGTAATAGTTGTCGTCAAAGCCCCGTTTTGTGGCATAGTCCTCATAGTTTTCTAGAAGACCTGTAAACAGAAAGTAAACAACGCGCACATGTAAACTATAAAATATAAGGTCGCGAATACAAAATCCAGCCACGCTTTGAACATACCTTCGCTTAGCGCCGGTTCGCGTCGTCGAAGATACTCGTCGTAAGCAATTTCGTAGAAATCCGAGGTTTTCTTCGGGACAAAATCCCGCTTGTAGTCATCGACATCTTCGAAGAATCTGTTCCTGACCGGTAGAGCAGTTGTCAAAGCGAAGGCCGCAAAAAGCAAAGGGAGAACAACTTTCAACATCGTGGGATCCTTTCGGGCGAAGGACGATTTTGTTGCTGTTGGTTTTTTTTTAAAGATATATCACAAACGCTCGACCAGTGTAAAACCGTTTTCGACGCTAGCGAGTATGCCTCAACGCAGTTAATGATCGTCACTAGTGACAC